AATGGATATATAATATTTCACCTCTAAACAAAAAACTGTATCCATATTGTAATAATAATCTTTTCTCTCTCTCCGTCCAGTGTCACATATACGTGGGTCTGATGACTGTCTGACTCATCAGCCTCAAACCAATAGGGACACATATCCATTCACACTGCAACAAAAACAAAACAGAGATCTTGCATTGATAGCAGAGCAACACAAAGATGTCTCTAGCAAAATCTTGGAAAGACTTGCAAATTCCTCCACATCCCACAATGCTTTGTTTCATTGCTGTGAATCACCTCTTTGGCATGCCGACAAAAGGGAATCCTCCAGTCACTGCCAGTAACAGAGCACCTCCGCAGACACACTGTCAGTAAAATAGAGGACACAAGGAACCAATAGCTTCTGGGCTTATTAAAATCAACATGTGGGCACTGCAATTCCAGTGTTTGGGACAGCTTTTCTAAATGTCCATGATTCTATCAAGTATCATTATCATATCGTTGGTAAAAACTTAATTCAATTGTTATTTAAGATGTAGTCAAGTCAAGTCAAGTCACCTTTATTTATTTAGCGCTTTATACAATACAGATTGTGTCAAATAGGGCTGGGTTTTAACACAAATTTCACTATTCGATTCGATTCTCATTCACAAGTTGCGATTCGATTCGATTACAAATACGATTCGATTCAATATAGATTATTTTGGATATATATCAGGTACAGTACATGCCAAATTTTCTCAAGGAAAAAAAATCGAAAATAATGCTGTAAAATATACATGAGAGTCAGTTGGTACAACATTACTATAACATTGAAGGTTAAAATTAAAAGTTTTTACAATAATAAAGTTACAGTTACATATTAATATTTCTACTTCAATTCGTTTAAAAAAAATATATAAACATTTAAATGGTGGCTGTCATAAAAACTTGAATAAATTAAACAAATTAAACATTGAAGAACAGTAAAAATTATAATGAATATGTTATATGGTGCATATATTAAGCAAAATGCTCCTTTCTACAGTTTATTTTTCTATCTGACTAATGAGTTTATGGTCACTGGTTTATGGTAAATGTGACATTAAAGGCAGGGTATGTGATTTTTCAAAAACACTTTAGAAAACTGATTCGGGCCGAATCGCAAAACAAACTTGTAGCCAATCAGCAATAAGGGGCGTGTCTACTCGTGATGTGGAGGAGAGCGCGTTCAGTGCATGGGACGGACATTAGCCGAGCCGAGCGACAGAAAGATAGAGATGGCGGATAAAAAAACAAAAGAGGAAAACGTCTGCGGAAAGATAAGGCAAGAAGTAGGACCCGTGAAAATATCGGATCAGCTTTCCAGCGCTGGAGAGAACTCAAGGAGCGGAGGCCTGCGATCGGACGCCGAGGTTGCTATGTTTCTTCTCAGTAGGTGAGTAACACCGTGTCTACAACAGCTAAAGTCTGACTACACTGGACGCGATCAAACGACCGTTGAAAACCATTTGAAATTTGTGTCAGCACGTCATAAATAGAACCCGGCAGCAGTTTTCTGTCGGGATTTGTTGCGCCGCGCCGCTCACGTCCGTAGACACGGTGTAACATTGGTTTTGCTTTGTTTCACAGAACTAATCGTTGCCTGGGTTGCGTACGTATATGTGGGGCAGAGCTATCAAAATAGGGGCAAGACCCTTTTGGGGTAGGGCCGTGTTTGTTTTGGTGTTTTCAAATATCAACATTGGCTACCAGAAACCACTTACTCTGCCTTTAAGTTATTCTTGTTCTCTTTATTGCTTTAAGTAAGTAGGCCTACAAGACATATTGTTTACAAGCCGTTATATTGGCGTCTTTGTGCGGCTGAAACACAGATTGAGCGATTACATGAGACAGGATACGGATTGTAAAGTTGTACTCTTTCTGTTAACTTACCTTCGGATGTTTAGTCATGTTTATTTTGTGCTGAAACTGGTATTAATGTGGAGGAGATGATTAGTTCACTTGCGCCTCGCGCTGCCGCGTCTGTTGAACTGAGGCGCTACAGCGATCTGTCACTCCACATTAGCTCACACTCCACAGCGCCAAAACGGCATTTATTGTTTAAATACTGTAATACAATGGACAGAATTTGAATATCTCGAATATATCGATATTTATTACCCAGCCCTAGTGTCAAAGCAGCTTTACAGTGTTAAACAGGAAAAACATGTGCTGTTAATGCAAGAGGACAATAGAAAACAGTCAGTTTATCAGTTAAAAGTCAGTTCATTGTTGATTCAGTAATGTCATCCTCCAGCTCAGTTCAGTTCTCTTTCAACAGTGTCTGTGCAGTCAAGTCAACAATGTTGCCAGAAATTGTGTCCCCAGCTAAGCAAGCCAACGGCGACAGTGGCAAGAAACCAAAACTCCATCAGTGACAGAAATGGAGAAAAAAAAACTTTTTTCATCATCGGAACAGATTTGGAGAAACTTAGCATTACATGACTTGCTCACCAATGGTGAATGGCAGTGAATGGGTGCCGTCAGAATGAGAGTCCAAACGGCTTACAAAACATCACAGTAATCCGCGAGCAATCCACACAACTCCAGTCCATCAATTAACATCTTCTGAAGTAAATAGCTGTGTGTTTGTAATAAACAAATCCATAAAGACGTTTTTAACTTCAAACCGTGCTTCCAGCTAAAATACGAGTCCTCGATAATATTGCTTTCTCCAGTGAAAAAGTTGTCTCGCCTGAATCAGGAGAGAAATATGCACAGAACAAGCATTGTTTATAAGCAAAAACAGTCCAACATTAGTCCTAAACAAAGGCCAGTGTATTTTGATGTGAGAGGACAACAGCAGATGGACTTTTTTTACTGGAGGAAGTGTTATTGTGGATTATGGACTCGTTCACAGCAGATGATCCATTGGTGAGCAAGCGATGTAATGCAAAATTTCTCCAAATCTGTTCTGATCTTGGATGGACTGAAGTCAAGTCAATTTTCAGCAGATATTAATATTTGAACTATTCCTTTAATGTTATATTATGAAGCCTCTAGTTTAGCCTTCAGCCTTTAGTTTAACTGTGGCCCATCTATTACCTTAAAGGAATAGTGCAGCCAAAAATGAAAATTCTGTCATCAATTACTCACCCTCATGTCGTTCCAAACCTGTATGCACAAGAGAAGATATTTTGAAGAATGTTGGTAGGAGACATCACAAGCTTCAACTAGCACAAAAGTTATGTGAGAAATATGAAGTCATTGAGCATAATGACAGTCACTCACAAAATAAAGGCACGTCCAAACAATGCAGATGGCAACCAGACATATTTAATTACAGAATTGTGTTTCTCAGGCTTTGCAGATTGATTTACTATACATTTTTTTCATACAATAGGAATTTTTTTCAATCAGGATCAGGCTGAAATTACATCCTGTCGGGACAAACAATAATTAGTTTAATTGCTTCTGCTCTTATGTGAAAAAAGCCATTACTCCATTTTCAAACCCGTCAAACAACACTGATCCTCTTAAGATCTATGACAATTTCTATGGTCTTTTTTTAGCTTAAAAAACCCCAAATATATCATGATGTACCTAACAAGGTCATTACATGAGAATAACCAACCAAAACGGATTATAAATTCTGAGCAATCTCATTGTACAAAACACATTTCCCTTAAATCATCAAGGTTAAAGCATCCAACTTAAAAGCAGTTTCCGTCTGCTGAAAGTATGAATATAAAAATACATAAGCATGTTAAACCACAAAAATATGTAGTCAAGTAAAAGATTAAACTCTTAGTGTGTGTCAAACTGTGCGTTTGGACATGCAAAGTTCATCAAGTGTCTTTTTAAAGTTTAAGTTCACCCAAAGATGAAAACTGTGTTATTTACCATGTTGTTCCAAACCTGTACGACTTTATTTCTTCTGTAGAACATAAAAGAAGACATTTTAAGAAATATTTCAGTGTTTCCCTTTCATGGGAACTTCGAACTGCGTCCTCTAGGGGTCGCTATGGGGAACGCCTCGTCGTGACCCGTGTCTGAAGCATACATTGAAAAAACACTTCAGTTTTCCATACGATGGAAGTCAATGGTAACTAAAACTAGTTTGGTTGCCACCATTCTTTAAAATATCTTCTTTTACGATCTGCAGAAGAAAGTAAGTCATAGAAGGTTTGGAACTACACGAGGGTGAGTAAATGACAGAATTTGAATTTTGGGGTGAACTATCCCTTTAAGAAGCAAGGCACATTAAGTACATTCCCTGCTATGCTCTACATAAAAATTTACAGTTATAATATTCCCTTATTATTTCATGACAAATGGATAATCAATTACCTTTACAGGCAAGAATTTATAGGAAACCTACTGAAGTGGAGTTCCAATTGTTCATGAATTTGAATAAGGGATAAAATGTTCAACATTCAAACAAGAGCCCTTACATTTCATTATAATTTGCAAAACCCTCCTGTTGAATCAGAGCCAACGCAAAGTCAAAAAAACACTGTACACAACCCGTTTAAGACAAATTAAAATAACTGATCTGTATACAGTAATACAATTGTATACTTAATCACATTAATTAAAAACAAGACAGGATTTATCGAAAGTATGATGGAAATTATAGATTTTGAATAAATACTTTTTTCAGAAAATTAAAAATTTGAAATTATTAAAATACTACAACAACAACAAACAGATTTCATTACTGTAGTTCAGAACAGTAACAATTAAGCAGTATGCAGTGTAAAACTGCGAAATTCACATATAGTGCATTATTTACCTCAGAAGACACAAGGAGCCCTTAAATCTCACCTCACTGTGTTCAGTAGCAAATAATCTGCATTAATAAAATGGCACAACAGAAAGCTCACTGGATAAAGCTGTTCAGAGAAACATTAAAGAGACCATCTATTCATCCTTACCAGGTCACACAACATGGCACTGCATGCATTAGATAAAAATAAAGATTCTAGAATATGCTTTGAAATATTTTTAAAGAATATAGTCTGCTCTATTATCTTTTTTTCCCCATTAAAATAAATGTAAACAAGCATGCTAAAACAAAAGTAAAAAAAAAAAAAAATTGCAGTCAAAGGCAGCCAGCTGGTTGGGTGAGATAATGACTCGAGAGGATGTGCTTGCGATCTGACCAGCGTGGGCGCAGCGCTTTTTGGTGTTTATCCAACTTTGTGGTGGGAGCCGTTGTCTGGTGAATGTTTTGGTTTGTAGTTGGGATTCAAACGCCGCCTCCGCTGCGGTCAACCGAGACAGGTCCTCTCAGATCCAACCCCTCCTCGGCCGTCTTCATCAGGATAGCCAGACGACTGTCAGAGATTTGGCCTCTCTGGACCGCACTCATGAGCTGAACCAATCAGAGAGCAAAACATATGCATAATCACTACCTAGCTTAATGGTTACAGCCACATTACTTTGTATGATTTAAGCTTAAGAGGCGACTCTTAAGCTTAAATCATATCTCTTGCATTTATATTTTAAAATGCAATTTATTTCTATGGTGGTAAAGCTGAATTTTCATTAGCCATTAGGCCTACTACAGTCTTTAGTGTCACATGGTCCTTTTAGAAATCATTCTAATATGCTTATTTGATGCTATTCTTTGATGAACAGAAAGTTCAAAAGAACAGTATTCTATCTTTACTGTCACTTTTGATCAATCTTCTTTCTTTCTTTTCATCAAATGTAATCTTGACCCACTACTTTGCTGTACTTACATGACTGGAACTAGTTGTCCAAAGACATTACCAATATGGCCTCAAGTGAGCTGACCTGACCTAAACAGACTTTGGTTAAAGCCTGGGCTAGTAATTTAAAGGTTAGTGGTTCAAGACCCAGAAAGGTTATTACTTTTAACACCTTTCTCCTGACCCATATATGGTAAACTAGTTCATGCTTCATTATAGTAAAAAGTACAGAAAAAGTGCTGCTCATTATTAATTAACTGAAACACCAGATCTACTTTATGTATGTAGGTATGACATTTCAGAGCGATTAATCACTGTGAACCAGTCGGCTTATGACAAAACATGGATATACTGACATGAAGATAACAAGCACTTCTAATTTTGAGGTTTTCACACCTACAACTACAAATCCTGCCTGAAAACCAGAGTGACACCAAGATAACCTGTAGCCTATAAATAGCTATTTTTACAGGTTCTAAGGGTTCATACCTGTAAGAACTCATCCAGTTCCACCTGTCCGTTTTTGTTGAGGTCCACCTCATTGAGGATCTCATGGAGGGCATTCTCATCAATTTGAATGCTGAGTTTCTGAAAGAACACAAATCAGCGACAGAATCAGTATCTAAGAGACATTAGACTGAGGCTTGACGAAAATGTTAAGGACTGCATATAAACCAAAGACAATGAGAGCTGAGAGAATGACAGCTAATAAGCAATTCACGCAGGGGAATTATTTAAATCTTATTCTTTGGTAATAAACACAAACACATACTTCAGTCTCGTGAAACTGCTGCTATCTGTTCTGCCCATCACTCACATTGAAAACAAATTGTGGTCAAACCTTTTTTTTAGCACCCCAGAATGCTTTCACCTATACAGTTGTATTTTTTTTATATATTTAAAACCATTTTTAAAGTGTTAGTTCACCCAAAAATGAAAATTAGCCTGTGTTTTACTCACCCTCGAGGCATCCTAGGTGCATATGACTTTCTTCTTTCAGATGAATCCAGTTGGAGTTATATTAAAAATTGTCCCGGCTATTCCAAGCTCTATCGTTGCAGTCAGCGGGTGTTGCAGTTGTCCACAAGTCGTCAAATAAAGCGCGCGCATCCATAATAAAACGTGCTTCACACGGCTCCGGGGGGTGAATAAAGGCCTCCTGTAGTAAATCCATGCGTTTTTGTAAGAAAAATATCCATATTCAAAACTTAATAATCACTTTAATCTAGCTTGCGCCCACTGTTGTAAACGGAAGCAGTTCCGGGCGGATGGCGTATGAGGTCGGCATTGCGCATGCGCTGCTCAGAAGTGACGCACGCGGAAATGCAGCGGAGAGATCAAAACAAAACAACGGTCACTGTGAATCGTCGATTTCGGATTTTAATCGATTTAAAACGGTAAGAATCGAATGAATCGCGATTTCTATAGCGATTCAGTGCTTTCAAAATATATACACATTAAATTACTACAAGCACGAATTAATGGAGACCTTGAACAGTGTTCGTGCCCTTGCATCTCTCCTTCATGCGCTCAACTATTTACCGCCTGTGACTGTCACAGGACTGCGCTCGCGCTCAGTTCGTCTCACTGACACATTTTTTGATCTCCTTCACGTGCTCCACTATTTACCGCCTGTGACGGTCACAAGATTGCGCTCGTGCTCCGTTCGTCTCACTGCCACATTTTTTGAGCAGCTGATGTGTGATCTCTCCTTAGTACTCGTGGCCAGTAATGCTAAAGTGAAGTAGTTTTGCTTTTCTGTAGTTTTTCAATGGCTCTCTGTCATACCGACGACATTACCTGAGAAGTCAAAGGCTGCGCATTTATTTCATGGACGGAACAAAAATGTAAGTGTCTAAAGCATACGCACAGTTCCATTGAATGATAAATGTGTTTTAACAATGTCGTTGAACTGAATGTACGAAGGAAACTGTTAAAATAACCACAGCATTAACAACAACCTTGAAATAAGAGCTCGAGGTTTGTCTGATAATCAGATGCGTGAAAGTAGAGTTTGTTGCTATAGCAAACAGACATCGGGTACCTTTTCTTTCAGAATCATCATTCGCCGATGGAGAGGAAAAGTTAAATACTATAGCATTTTATTTTATGAAAATGAGATAAAGAAGTTTTCGCACTGAAAGAGAAGTGATCTCTTCTACCTGATTCTGTGCAGAAAATTTTAATAATTGTTTGTATTATATAAAACGATCATAAAATCGCCATTAGGAAAAAATTATAGACTACAAATGATTGATTATTGTCCAGCAGTGTATTTAATTTCTTATAGCAAAGTCAAAGTAAGAGATAAGAAAATAATTCCTTGTAAAAAAAAAACATAATAAAACATACATACATAAAGCTATTGTATTTGACATTTCTGTCACTTCTGAAATGATGGCTACACCCCTGGTGTGACAAAATGTTAGCCTATACATAATACTTTTAAAGAAAGAATTTAGGGGAAGCATTTAAATAATCCTTTGAATGCACTTAAAGAATGCAGAATCGAATCGTTAATCGAAATCAAATTTAATTATGAATCGAATCGAATCGTTCTGGATTTGCAAAAGTCGTTCTCGAATCGATTCGAAAACCTATGAATTGTGAATCGAATCGATTCGCTGTCTACCCAAAGATTCACAGCCCTACGCAGGACGTATGCGCAGCGTGCGCACCTCTGAGATATGCTAGTCTCGCGAGTTTGTTTATAGGAGCAAAGGAAGCAAAGTTTCCTTACTTTAGCAAAGGAAAAACAGTCTCCTCTTGGTTTATATCGAAATCCTCCGACATTTTTCTTTACAAATCCTCGGTTTATACTTCTAATTCGTGACCTGCGTTTTGTTTTGTTCTCTCTCCGCATTCGTCACTAATCACGCAACGCCGACGTACTACGTCATCCGTCGGAACAGCTTCCGCGTATGACAGATAACGGAAGTGAGAGAAAAGTGTTTATTACGTTTGAAATATGGATATTTATCTAGGCCTTTATTCACCCCCCGGAGCCGTGTGAGGCACGTTAAACACAGGCTAATTTAAATTTTTGGGTGAACTAACCCTTTAATATTATGATTGTTTGACAAATGACGATTGTTTTAAAGAATGTTGGTTAACCAAACAGTTGACAGTAGCCACTGACTTCCATAGTATTCCCTATAATATAGACATTCTTCAAAATATCATCTTTTGGGTTCAGCAGAAGAAAGAAACTCATACAGGTTTGGAACAACATGAGAGTGAGTGAACAATGACAGCATTTTTGGGTGAACTTTAAGTACTAAAGTATTAAAGTTTTTATAAACTATTTCTTACTATGTGTCAGTAAGTTGTTTTTATTTTAGCATGTGTGTTTGGCTCAGTAAAGTACAGGTCATCTTGCAGTTTAATCGCGTACCTTGTGGCAATCCAAAAGTAATGAAAATTAATTAAAATGAATTAACATACATAAAAAGTCCCCTCATCTCTTTATATCAATGCCAACTTCGCCTAACCTGATGAATTACATGTAAGACATTTTACATGATGTTGTTAGTGCAAGAAATCTTAACTAACATTATGGACTCCAGGAAAAAGTAATGGCTGCTTAGAACAAATAATATAACAGTATATTTTTGCAATCTAAAATATTAAGGAAGCTCAGTTGTAATTGTAAGAGACTGTAACTGTATGAGAGATTATAACACACCTCTAGCACTTGCTGGACATCCACTGTTGTGATAAAGCCTCTACTCTCCTTATCAAATTTGTAAAAGCGCTTCTTATACCTGTCAATCATAATAATGATAATATTAGAAGAGTCAGAGCTATAGGATCTTGTATACACTTAAACTCACACACTCATCCTATACCTTGCTATCTCTTGGGCAGTGAGTGAGATCTCTGTTGTCTTGCTGAGCTGCTCAGAGCGAGCTTTATAACCCATCTCCAGGTGCAGGAACTTCTTTGCTGCCTCCAGCTCTTCCTACAGACACAAAAAAACAAAAACAGACTGAGTAACTTTACAAAGGTTAGAAACAAGTGAATAAAATGTATTTTTGATAAAATATATATTTTTTCTGATCATAACAGCAGCACATTTCAGCACAGATTATTTTGTAAACCTATTACAGTATAATGCATGCTTTGCAAATTGGGTGTTACTGAAGGATGGGCGAGTTAAAAGCTATATTGGACCCAACAGTTTGTGTAAAAGTGTTGTTTCTCATTTCTTGTCTGAAGAAGGCATTTACATAGAAGTCTTCATGGCACAGAAATAAATAAATAAATAAATACTGGTCAGATAGATGGTGAAATATGGTCAAATAAAGATAAATTACAGGTATTTTATCCTGAAGAAAAAAAAACGTTATTTTCTTTTTTCTAATTCTACTCAACGGGCTGCCACATATATTCACATTAAACTGTAAAAAAAAGAATTTGTACCAAAATTGATGTTTTTCATTTTTTTGAAGGCATTTACATAAAAGTCCTCAAGCAATAAATAAATAAATAAAACAATCTAATTTTAAGGGTCAGATCGACGGTGAAATACGGTCATATAAAAGTAAATTACAGGATTTCTTTCCTGAAAAGCCAACCCTTTTAAAAAAAAATCTATTTTTTTCTATGTTCTACTCAACATTCTGCCAAATGCCTCATTATAAGTCTAAATATTTTAAACTGTAAAAAATGGGTTTGTGTTGTTTCATTTCATGTCTGAAGAAGGCATTTACATAGAAGTCTTAAAGGCACAGCAATAAAATACATTATTTGATTGATTAATTAATTAAAAGAAATTTAATTTTATATTTTAATTTCATATAAAAGTAAATTATGTTTTTTTTTTCCTCAGGGGGTTATTTATGTATTTCTTTATTTTCAATTTCTACTCAACAGACTGCTAAAAAGCTCATTAAAACTCTAAATATTTTCAACATTTTTTTTTTAAGTTGTAAATAAAACAAAGATTATTGGAACATGTTTTATTAGAAAATACCAGTAATAGCTACCAGTAGATACTGATATATATATATTTTTTTTTTCCACATTAGAATGAGAGTGTTTGAGGCAGTAAAAAGGATTCAAATTCAGCCAAAGTTCAAAAGGTGTTTCATGCAGCTGAAACACAGCAACATGAGAATTCTGGCTTGCCTTGCAGAGAGCTGTGATATACCTGCACTGGATCAAGGCTCCCAGCAGAGCATTGTGTCTGTGTCCGTGCATGTGTGTGGTGGGTGTGGTGCACCTGCATTGTGAGCAGATCTGAGTTCTCAACTCATGGGAACTGAACAGTATCAAAGCTGCACAGTGATCTGTGCTATTATTAGTGCTTCTGTTTATCAGACAGGAAACCAACGACCAACGTGCAAAAGCTGGAGTAATTCTATCACCCTCTTACAAACGCACTACACACACACTTTCAAACACTCGTGCACGCACAGACGTAATAGCCATAGTCATCAAGAGGTGTTGTGCTGGGCGCTCATTGCACAACTGAATTGTGATCTTATCCTGAAGTGGAGACTCCTTGTTAAAAAAACTATTTAAGAGAGTCACACTAACAATAGCTGAGGCCTATTATTAGCTGTTACCTAAATTAACCTCGCTGAGACCTTTAGCTTTAGATCAGTCAAAAATAGCTGTGTTCAGGGAAAGGGTAGCAGGTTTGCACAACCAATAAATTCAATAAATCAAGTATTGCCAACAAAATGTTTGAATACATTTGAATTGTGATTTGAATTCATATGTATACTAAATGTGAATTTAAAGTGTATTCTGCTTTCATTTTAATTAAATAATCACATGCATACGCACACGCACACAACACACAACACTGTCAGTCTGTATTCTAAAGTACTGTAATATGCCATGAGATAAATGACATACGCTCTTTTTTTGTTCAGTCCACTGCAGTTCTTTGCCCATGATCTCAACGATACGTGGCAGAGCCTCATCCGCAGCCTGGACGTTCAGAAAGCCCAGGCGAGTTCGGCGAGCAATCACATCGATGGCTGTACACGCATACTCCTTTATAGCATACTGCACCTAAATCCAGACAGAAAATATCACTTTCATTTTAATCTAACTTCAAATTTAATAGAAACTGTTTGGAAACAATCAGACATCCATGTATTTTTAGGCTGACTGAATGACCTGCAATATTTTCAAATTTCAAGATTTCAACCCAACAGTGAATCTTACTTATTTTTAATGCTGATAGTTATAGTATTTGACCCTTAGCTAAGCTCCACCTCTCAAGAAACAATGTGATTTTCAGTAAAATGTGCTCATGGACTGTAATGAAGTGTAACATCGTAAAGAGTTTATTCTAAGTACTAGCTTATTTCTAAAAACTTTGAAGACTGCTCATCAGAATCAAAATGGAGTCAACTGTCAAGATAAAAGCCTAACTTGAAAGCGATCAGAACAGATTATATTGGTGTAAATGAACAGAACTGTTCCTAATGTTTCACAATGCATTCACTATGTGTGTGTGAACTTTGTAGTGTGACACTTACTTCCATCTCTACAACCAACTGAATCAAATACGAAAATAAAACAACAAAGACTAAACTTCTCAAAATCAATTAAAATATTTGGTATAGGGAAAATATACTGTAAACCACGTGTCAGTATAAGTGACCTGGGAATGACGTTTTACCATATTTCTGTACAATTTATGCAAAATGGCATTGAAACCATCCAAGCAACTCCATAGGTGATCCTCAAGTCATGTTGGATATAAGATAGTATTTACAAGTTTAGCGCATATAAACGCCACCACAGTGTCGCAATTACGAATAGAAAATTCCTTTCTTTGCGTCCTGAGTTTCTGAGTTCTCAAAGTGTCAGTGAAAACACACGGTGGACACAATGGATTCTTGCATCTGTATTTGACAGTAATTTTGTTCAAATGTATGAATTTTTATGTTTAACATAAAACTAGCTAAGCTGCATGTACAAAATCCAACAGTACTTCACAATGATGATAATATATACTACAATTCCATTTACAGCACTTTCATAAATTTAAATGCACAATTGATTTTTCATAATTTTGTTGAAGCAGTGTAAAAAAAAGCTTCGCTGTATTTTTGTAAAAAAGTTTTTCCGTTCTCCAACCGAAGCGATTTGAACACGCATAACATCATAATTAATACTTTCCAACATGTTAATACAAACTTCCCAGGATGACTTGAATGCACCATTACAGAGTAAAAGCTTGGCTGACATCAAAAGTTGCTATTGGTCAGTAATGTTTTAAAGGCGGGGCTTAGCAAATGGTCAACTGCAGGTTAATTGTCATTATTATAATTTCAGAGTGCTTACCTCACTCTCTATGTAGGGAAATTCGGACACAAGGCGTTTACCCACTATAGGCCATCTCTTGCCTGTCACCTGGGCCATTTTGGCCACTTCAAATGATCTTCCTCCGTAGGTTGCTGCCAGGTGCTGAGCAACCTGTGGGTTCAGAAAATAAAAATGTTATTCCTTACGGCTGTAACCGTTATTAAATAGATGATTTAACATGATTTAACTTTCTTTCCTTATACAGGAAACCCACTGTAACCAAAGCTAGATTTTAAACATTCACTTAGGCTGTAGAGATGTTTTCTTTACTAGCTTATGAATAGTTCAGGCAAATAAAATGGCCCCGTTTACTTTGCTCTTCTTTTATATCTCTCACCAAAGGTCAAGTGCTGTCAAAAATATCTGCATGCTGACCTTTTTAACTATGCTGGCAAAACAACATCCATGGTAGCGCTACGGCTCCATCAAGCTCTCACGCTTCCAAACAAGGGTTTGCCAGACTTTCTCTCCCCCACAGAATCATGGGGGACTGAAGCGTTATGGAGCAGCTGAACCTGCTCCAAAGAGCTCTGACTGGCAGAATGCTAAGTAGTTGGGCTTCAAAACCCACCTCGTTTTCCAAGCCGTAGTCTTGAACCAAGCGAATGTACAGGGTGGGGGTCCAGTCCTTCCCACCATCCAGCATCAGACCGACTGTCCTGCTGGGACCAGCTGAGAGCTTATGAGCCTTTATGGCTGCGTCAAGGGTCTCCTCAGCCATAGAACGATAGGTTGTCCACTTCCCACCTACAGAAGACAGAGTGCTGTGAAACCTTTATACATCCTTAGTAGAACAATTATCAGTAACCCAATTCCTCATTTAAAGAAAATTTTTTTTTTTGTGTATATGATTGTATTTTTAAGTAAGATTTAATGTTTTAATATTTTTACTTATTTTGTTTTATTATAATTTTTGTCTTTAATTATCATTTTTAAAAATTATAATTATATGCTTATAAGTTAATAATTACCGGGTTAGTATGTTTTTTATTTTATTTTATTTTTTAAGAAATTAATACTCTTATTCAGCAAGGATGCATTAAGGCAGTGTTTCTCAACCAGGGGTCCGTGGACCCCTAGTGGTCCTTGACATAAGGCCAGGGGGTCCGTATAAAGTATTAATTTTTGTATACATTTTGTATATTTTGAAATGACATGTTCCCATGAAAGAAAATTCCAATATAGCTGATGATATGGCCAAATACTGGACAAGTCAGCTAACTTGAATTATACTTGACTGCATTTGGTCCTCACAAAGACACAAATGATACGAGTCAATTTTGTTCTGGGGGTCCTTGAGGATGGTTCTGAATTGGACTGGGGTCCGGTACGACAAAAGGTTGAGATTCACTGCATTAAGGGACGCAAAAATACTACATGAAATAAATACTGTGCTTTTGAACGTTCATAGTTTGCACAAAAATATTAAGCAGAACAATTGTTTTCAACATTGATAATAAGAAGCCGGGCTGCACAATTTGGCCAGAAAATGTGCTTTTATATATATTATATATTATATCTCAATCAATATGACTACAAAATAAGAATTATAATTATTATTATGATTATTATTACTACAAATATCTTTTTTTTTTTTTACAATAATTACAAACTTTTTCACACTGTACAAATCCAATTAAACCACTTAATGAAAGAAAATATATAAAAAAAAAAAAAATGGCACAAAGGCACTGACCAGCAATGGTGACGAGTCCGCTGTCGCTGATGTTGACGATGTGGTTACGACAGATGGACTGTGTGTTTTTGGAGTTGGGGTCGGTGACCAGCGGACGAATGCCACTCCAGGCTGCCAGGACATCCCCTCGCCGCACTGAGAACCAAAGAAACCAGAGACGCTGACAATCTCTGACAGCTGAAGTGTGTGTGTCGAGTATCTGATTGACAGGACTACAATAGGCTACACTATTGTATTTATGCAGTCAGTGTCCTGTCTACAGCTACACCCACAACTGTTTATATATGAAAATGACAGTGATGTCTGCATTAAAAGCTATTTTGTTTGGCAAATGACCATAGGGGAACATGGGAAGCGAGACTGTCCATAAAAACTGGAATTGCTTTGTTACTTTGTTAAACTAACAAACTGTTACTAGAACATCATGTACGAGTCCAGAGTCAATTTCCCTATTGTGGTGACATCTCAAACATTAATTATTAAGAGGGAGTTGTGTATTGATCTGCGGTACACATGCCACTGTAATATGCAGGTTGATATTTCTGAATGGGGGGAAAAACAGAGACAGCAACTCTCATTATCAAAGGGCATCTCTGAAACATTTATGACAAGGCTAGGGAGCTCAGCAGACAGCAGACTGGGGAGACCAATAACACACACACACACACACACACACACACACCTTGAGTCTAAATGAACCTCAGCAATAGACCGCTGGGCTGTCGAATGCATTCAAGTAATCAAATTCTCAAGGGAAGAATTCAGTCCATTTCCAAGCTGTAGAACGCACTCGAAGTTCTCAAAGAATCACAATCACCATACCGAGGCATTCGCAATATATCCGCAACCATATTGGTATAGGCCAATATTTAATTTGTTAATTTTTAAAACTACCATCATTGGTTAATTAGGCTGAGAATGGAAGAAAATAATTTTTATTTTTGCATAAAATTTTTTCTTTCTTCATTCATGTCTGATGATCAATATACACGAGGAAAGGTCCCAGTGATTTTTCGGTGTGGGCGGGGCTTCCCACCTGACAAATCAAAATTTAAGTTAATTAAATTAAGTCAAGCGACTGACTAAATGTAATATAGTTTGTCGCAGCTGCTCAGGACAAAAACTCTGAAAACTCTGAGATACCCTTCAGCACTTACCAATTTATATATATATA